AACACTACAGTCAGAAACTTTTTTTTTCTTTACCACATAACGGAAATAGACAAATCATTTCAGCATCTCTACCTAAAACTGCCTCTCCGTGAGAGCTGAATGTAGGTCAGGAGAGACAGCTCTGTGCTTGAGATGCGCCACAGTTTCGTTTCAGGGCGCTGTGGCTCCTGCTTGCTAGATCAATCCTGAGTGTCTCTGAAATGAGCTCCTTTCCTTCTACTGTTTTAACAAAAATTTGCCAATAAAAATATTTTGAGCTGAACATTTAAATAGCATATGTAAAACTCCTTTAACACCACACACCATTTGACTTGAAGACTGAACTTGAGCTCATTGGCAGAAGGAAGAACCCAGGCACAAAGCTGAATAGACTTATTCAAGGAGGAGTTATAAACCCAAAGCCTGTGGTTCCCAAAGGATCATCTAGAATAGTGATTCTCCACCTGTGAATTGTGACCTCTGTAAGGGAAGGGGAGAGTGACCCTTTCACATGGGTCGCCTGACACCATAGGGGCCATCAGAAAGCACAGATGTTTACGATTTGTAACTAGCAAAATTATAGTTATGCAGTAGCAATGAAAATAAGTTTATAGTTGTGAGTCAGCACAACATGAGAATCACAGACTTAGGGTGAGAACCACCCTCTAGATTATACACACAGAATCTCGGGCCCATCTCTGGGCTGGTTCATAGGATTACCATGGATGTCCTCCTGGCTTGTTTTATTTTTTAGATGGATTTCACCAAAGAAAGAAAACTAAAGCATTTCTTTGTATATGCCAAGGGGTGTGTGGTGTAATAAACATTACAGCTGCTGCTTATTTCCTGGAGTTGATGTTTTCCATCAGGCAAATGACACAGGAGTAGCAGTGATGGACAGAACACACAGTAGGGAGCACCTACACTGCTTCTCTGGGAGGGAAATAGAAAGGATGATTTACACAGCTTGCTGATGTGGGCAGTCTCAAACTATTGGTGCTTTAGCAACTATCACAGATTTACAGAGACTTAACAATGGGTCTGTATCTCACTCTAGCCTACTATCAGACATAGAATATATGGTGAAATTTCACAGCATAATCTGAGCATTTCATTGTTTAACTTGATGCAAATTCCTCCAATAACACTATACCTATTGGCATCAGGACCTCAAAGGTAGTTTAATGTCCCCATAAGTCCTTATTTCTCACTGTTCCCAAGGAAATGCTCTGACAGAGTCTGGGGTATCATAAAATGAATTAGACTAGTGAATGAGCCCTTGGCAGAAAGAAAATGCCACCTCGAGCTCTTGGGACTGGGGAGCTGCCCCTTGCTTGGAAGCATCAGAGTAGAAAGAAATACGGAATGGGACTAAGGAAACTTGACTCTGAAAGTGAGAGTGGCGGGTGGGTCTTTCTGTGCTTATGCTCAACATAGGAAAAAGGTGTCTCTAGCCTTGGTCAAGGTCAGTGCTGCCATGAAAGCTCATCAGCGTGAAGCTGAAGCGCCCACTGACTGCTTTGCACTGCAAGGTCAACTGGAGGGGCGAGCTAGGAGGCACCACAGGCAGAGCCTTAATGTCCAGTAGCTGGGACTGTGCTGTTCCCTGCGAATACTTTTGGGAAATAGAACGGTTATATTACGGTAGCCTGACAAACAGTAGCTCCTAAATATACCTTCAGACTATGGCCCAGCATATGTAAAAGCATGCTAAACATATTCCCAGATCCAATATGAACACTTCTATGATCAGTCACCATTTAGACTGTTTGTTCCTTTGGTAAACATTCAGAAGGATCAATACCTTTTGAAACTATGCTGTCTACTGCAATTAGATACAGCCACAGCAAAGGCGCACAGAAGAAGGCCAGCCTGGACACTGCCCCATAGGACAGCTGGCTTCGTGTGTTAACTTGCTTCCATTCTGGTTGAGTCCATCTATTTCATAATTCCCTGCCCACATTGTCCTGTTTTCTTGACTCAAAACAGAAAGATATTTTACCTTCCAAGAAGACAAAGAGAGAAGTTAACTCCCGAATGAATCAACCAGAAGTAGTTGATTCATAGTAGGTATTACATTTGAGCACGAACGCTTCAGAGAAGGGAGTGTAGGTGGAGTTCAAGTAAGAAGATCTAGACATAACTCACGAGCCAATGGGCTCTTGGACCAAGTCATTAAACTTGTTTTATCTATAAAGTGAACATGATTCTGCTGAAATTATAAAACCTTTCCTAACAACATACCAAACATATTTATCAGGTTCTTAATCATTCCTCAAATGTTCTTAAGTAGGAATTCAGATTCCATAGGAACCAGAGGTAAGACGCACATGTGTGTACTTGTACTGGGTTCTCAACAAGAGGAGCATGGAGAGCTCCAGCTCCTGGAGTGAATGTGGGGCTAGGAGTGGGGCAGGGGGAGGAGTGGGAACTTTGGGGAAAACCCTACACAGTGAGTTAAATGTTCACTTCTAAATATGACTCATGAAGTGCCAATTTTGACAAAAATGCCAAGTCACCAAGGTATAATACCCATTTGGCTATCCTGTACCTCTAACACATACGGTTCAACGAATTCAGACTCAGTCCAGACATCGTACCACGTATCTAGTCCAAGGAAAAGGCCAGGGCGAGTCTATGAGTTCCAGGCCAGCCAAGACTACATAGAGAGACCCTGTCTCAGGGGTGGAGGGAGACTATACTAACAACAAATAAGGCAGGATTCACTGAGTGTCCCTGAAGACAGTGGAAAGCATAGCTCCACACAAGGGCTCATGATGTGAATAGCAAATGTGTTTGGTCTAGCCTCAAACTGCAAGAAATCCAAAGTTTGCCAGAAGGTGAATAAATTAGAAAAGCATGCACACCAAAACATGAATGATCTCAAGAATACAAGAGAAAACAAGACTAACATTTTTCTGGACCCAAGATTCATGGCCACCTGGAGGACCTGCCATGGAACAGACTTGACAAAAGGAAAATCAGGACACACAGGTTAGAAATACATCTTGATGGCTGCACTGTTTTCAGGTGTGTTTACCTGTCCAAACTCTACGAGACATAACAGCATCAGTTTATTAAAGTAGACCTAAATAAAATCGATTGAAAATAAATTCCCATCCATGGCCCCTTCTCAGTACTAGGAAACTTTGTGGCCTCTTATTAAGACTACACAGCCAATTCAAATGTGTGCCCTTCAAGCACCTACTCTAGTGCTGAAACAATGATGATTCCAAAACTTCTTCTCCCTGGGGCTGCCTAAGAAGCTTTTAAGATCGAGGGAGCTAGTGATATACTGCAGATCCAAAGCATCACAGAGTCGTGCTAGGCTTGTGAGACCCGTCCCTAACCTGATAGATAGCTCACAGACTGAGGCCAGATAGCTTGATTCACTGTGATGGGTGTAACCAAATATTAGTCTGTACTGACTACAGATTCACTCCCAGCCACTGGGAACCAACAAAATGAAGCAACCTTTGAGGAAGAAAATAAACACCTTTGAGCCTCAAGCAACAGTGAGTTTCAAACTAAGAGTCCACAAGCCTCAGAAAACAGCTGCACAGATATAATCTGTGCACTGAAAGCCAAGTTGTGCCAGATTCGAAGTCCTTATTCCTTCTGTATTTAGTGGCTCAGGAAATTTTCATGACCAGTTCTTTCAGAAGTCAGTGGAATGGAGGCAAATATTCACATGCTTATAGTTCTTTACAGTTTTATAACAACATAAGATCACTAACAATTCAGTGTAAACCACTAATCTACAAAGTAGTTTTCATCAAACCAAGCACAATTTTATTTCTAATCCACGGGCATTGATAATTCTGAATATTTTATCTATACTACTCTATTGTCAACTTTGCCACTGCGACAAAAAGGAGAAATCACTGGTTTTGACTCAGTTACAGCCCATGGTAGGCTGGCTTTTCTGCTTTGGACCCACAGCGAGACAGCATCATGGAAGTGCAGGCGTGATGGAGCCAAGAACTCACCTCCTGGCAGCCAGGAAGCACAGACTATGAAAGCCAGCACCTGGGTGTCAGAACACGGTCAAAAGAACGACACACGATGAACAATGCCCAGGGCTGAACTGTGAGAGAAGTCTCCAGAAGGGCAGCTCTTTACCTCAGACGCATTTTGGCGCCAGGCTTGTTCTTGGATGTGATTTCATGCCGCTGTGTTAAACATTTACATTTGATTTCTAAGACATGTTTATTCTTGTTGGATGTCAGAACATAGCTATAGGACCCAATCTGGTACAGGGATGCGCTGGGTGCTGGCCCCAGTGTACCCTGGATCTGGGTATGTCCTCTGCCTTGCTTTCGTGCTTCCCAGATATAACCTATAGTGCGTGCCAAGCAAGTCTGTTTAAGTTGCTCTATTCTGGGAAAGGGCTGTTCCGTTCATATTTAGTATGTGCTTTCTGGCGTTTTTCTGAACTCAGACAACCTTCCTTGGGCCATTGCTTTCTTTGTTGATTACATCCATGTATACAAGAATACAAAGCTGGTGTTGTCTGCAGTATTAGACCGCAGTCAGCCTCATTCTACCAGGTCTTCAAATCCCAGGTCTCCCACCCAGATCTGCACAGGTCGGCAAAGGTGGATGACTGGGACAAAATACACCCTTCAGAGGCAAAGCTCAGGGAGCTGATTCTTCAGCTAGGCCCGACCTGCTGGAGTCTTCATCATCTCTCAACAGCGCTATCAGGTGGGCTCCAAACTTCCAAACACGTCATTTGGGGGGTGTGACTGCAAGATGCCACCTGCCTGTCATTCCAACACTGAGGAAGCTTACACAGGAGGATTGTAAGTTTGAGGCCAGCCTTAGAAACTAGAGAGACCATCTCTTGGTAAATAAATGGAGAAAACAATAAATGAAGAAACACATACTATTTTAGAGATTTGAATAACATGTTTATAAAGCCCATTCTTATCAGAAACTTAAATCCATACTGATTTGTAAACAGCTGTTAAATGTCCTAGAAGTAAAAAACAGAATCACAAAATTGATGAGAAGTTGTTTTTAATGAATATGCTTTTAAAATCCTGTATTTGTACAAAAAAATACTGCAGACTGTCCAACTGCATTTGACAGCTGCAAACATAGTGTAATCTTTAGTTAACCAATTCTAGGAGATGCTTCTAGAAGGCATTTATTCCACATGATAACCTTTTGGAGAAGCCAAGCACAATTAATTTTCATTTTTAAATGTCTACAAAGTTTTAATTCTCCATTACACAAATAATTCCTCAAAATCTAGACATTATTCAAATGTATGTCAGTTATTGTACAAACAGAATACACAAAAGGATCAAAAATATACATAGTCTCTCAGCAAATTTTGTTACATAAATAAGAAAAATATATACAGCCGGATTTCAAAGTACAATTCTCCTAACACTGTATACAGAAGGAGCTAATAAAAACGCTGAAGTAAAAGTCAAAGGAATGGCAGATTCCTTTCACGACTACTACGGCTACAAATGCTACAACCATTCTGGGAGGGAATATAATCTGGGAGATCTTAATTTTGACTTAATTTTATCCCTTTAGAATATTCTCTGGACAGGTGATATTCACACTTCCACCAGGCACCCCCGACACCTGCCATAAAAGGCAGAATGTGTGAGAAACTACATAATCCATGTCTTCGTGTTCAGATAAACAGGAATTCAGGAAAGAATTCTCAAAGAGTTAAATTTAGATACTCCTGCATTAAAATTTTCTGGGTAAGATGAGCTACTTAAAAATCAAATAATGAAGTTGGAAGTAGCAGAAGGAAATAAAACACTCTGAACATCCTAACACAGTGAGCAGGAAAGAAAGATGATGCTGGTACATCTCCAGATAAGAAGAGCAGGTTTATGTTTTGCCCCAGAAATTCTCCTTTCTTTTCTGAGCTCGCGCTAGAGTCTGAAAGGCCTGGAGACTGGAAGCGGCAGAGCGGGCAGAGATCTCAGACAGTCTGTCGGCATCTGTAACGAGAGAATCCCAGGATTACATTCCCGGTGGAAACCGCCTCAGAACAATAATGTACTAGTAACAGAAATCAAAACTACCTCATCAATAGCAACGCTGGATCTATCAGAAAACAAGGGAACTGGTAAATGGAGAGTTTAACTCATCATAGTTCACGGCGGCCTCCTACGGTGATCACAGGTCAAGCATGATGACGTGACCAGAAACCTTTTCACATCCTTGAAATCCTATAATGTCATTAGCTACACACAGCTTATGATTTCAGTATTACTGGGAAAGAACTCATCCTGAAATGTCTTATCCTACTTTCAAAAGAATGGCTATTTGTACTGAAAAGACTTTCAACTAAGAAAGCAGACTGTTGGGGCCGGAAGATGGCTCGGTGGCTAAGAGCACACACCGCTTTTCCAGAGGTCCCGAGTTCAATCCCTAGCACCCACAGCAGGCGGCTCACGACCACATGCAGCTCCAATTCCAAGCAATCGCCATGCCTCTGGCCTTAAGGGTACCTGTATGCAAATGCACATGCTCACATACATTATCAAGAATAATAAAAATAAGTCTTACTTAAATGCTATATTTTAACATGCCATGATGTCACTTTTTGAAAGTCTTACTAAATGTAAAAAAAAAAAAATTATTTGGCAATAAGCTACCACCTCTAGGCACTGAAACCCCACATTCTGAGTGAGCAAATCCATCACGTTTACACACACTCTTCTTCATCAACAAGACAAAAGGCAGAATTAGATCTAAAACACAACTTGAGCTCACTGAATAAGGAGTTGCAAACTTGCTAAAAGAGAAAAAAACAACTTCTAATATACCTAGCTACCAGTGTAAAGAGCATTAAGTTCAAATTAATTTCCCAACTCAAAGTTAAAACCTTCAGGAACTTATTGGTACTTTACAGATTACAGTCAGGGCTCAGGACGGGACAACAGTCATTGTGAATGTTCACCTCAAGATCCCAAACTCCTCCTTCCTTTATTAAAATCAAAAAATTTGATAGGATGAAAAAGGAGGAGTACACAGGAGGAAAAGAGGCCTATTTTTATTAATTACACATATTTTGGAATGAAAAATGATAAGACTATGTAGGCATTTGAAAAAAATATGGATTAACATCGGGCCAAATTTCTGAGACAGACAGGTGGAAGCAGGCAGAGCCATGGCCTCCGCTGAGGGGAGGCACACATTTGCTGGGAAGACTCCTCAGCACACAGCCCCACACGGCTCCTGTGTAAGATGGGAATAATTCCATCCCTGTCATAAATAAGGTCTCAAAGACCTAATATAAAAATGTCTACAGGAGTCCTCTGCGGTCTGTGCAGTGCCAGCCAAATGTGAGATCATAAGCTACAGACCGCCTGACAGAAGAGCTCGTGCTGATCGTAAGTATTGAATACCTTCGTCATTAAAGGCTTCAGGTGACGGTAACTGCAAACTGTTCATCCTCGGCTTCCCCACTTAAAGAAAGAAAGGCAGAAGACATTATTCTTTAGCCACCAGACATCACATGTTAACTCAATTGTTTCAATATTTGTCCGCTCCAAAATTCACGGTGAAACTGAACTGCTGTTGCGATAGCATTAGGACACCTGAGAAGGTGTGGCCTAAGGCAGTACCACGGACGGTCTGTCCTTCCTTCTCTCACCTTTCTGCCAGGAGATGATGGAGAAGGAGATGTTCACTAGATGCTGCCCCTCTCTATCATGCACTTCCCAGCTTCTTCAGCAGTGGGTCTCAATCTTCTTAACACTGTCACTTAATACAGTTCCTCATGTCATGCTGACCCCAACCATAAAATCATTTTGTTGCTACTTCATAACTATAATTTTGCTGTTGGGAATTATTATATAAATATCTGATATGCAGGATATCTAATATGTGACCCCTGTGAAAAGATCATATGACTCCACAGGGGTCATGACCTACAGGTTGAAAACCACTGTTCTAGAGACATACTTATCAATTAATTTTGTATATTGATAGAGACTACTACATCAAAGGGCCAATGGGTAATTTGAATGTGTTTAGCAAGTACATAAACTGTGATTAAGCTCCTAATTCTTCACAATGATAATATTGGTGTAACTTCAAAGAAACATAGGCCTCTAGTAAGAGATGGAAAATTCAATACACATATTTAGAGAGAGAGCAGAAGCCCACAGAAAAAAGAAAATGAAAGACAAGGAAGCAACCACCACATTAAGAGATTGGAAAGAGTCGGAAGAGGCCAGTACAAAATTTAACTCTTAAGTGGGGAGAGTAGAGAAACTAAGAAGCAGAGATCATGTGTCTGTCCGCTTGTCTGTCCATCACCAGTGATGTGGGGTTTGGGATGGAGCAGGCAGGGGTGGGAGGAGGGACACACAGGACTCTGAAAACCTTGTTATGCAATAGCTAGATCACAATGTCTTTACACCTGCACAGCTGATGACCGTGTCGCCCAAGAGTGGACTAAAGATTTGTCTTAGGGGTCATCAGTGCTGCTGTGGCCAGATGCCCTGGAGCCAGAGAACAGGAGCAGCAGAGAGGCAGAGCAGTGAGGAACTGACCAGGCTGAAAGGTCTACAGGGGCCACCTGCTTAGGGGATGCTGTCTGTAAAGAATCAGTGGCATGGGGTATGAACAGAGCATCCCAGAGGCCACAGAAAGAAAACACCACACTCGAAAGCTTCAGAATAGAGACCGCAGGATTCCCAACTGTGACGGGAGGAGGCTCAAACAGCAGAGCAACCAGATCTGTGCCCTGGGAAGAACATGAGCGGCTCCTCTCACTTTATAAAACTGAAATGTGGAGTTGGCTACAGCAGCACAATCCGGTATCCAGAAAGGAGATCTGCCGTTCACAGAAATCCGTTAGTCTGGGCTACCTCCTGAGGCCTTGCTGAGAGGAGGGAGGAAGGGAGGGAGGAAGGGAGGGAGGGAGGAAGGGAGGGAAGGAGGGAGGGAGGGAGGAAGGGAGGGAGGGAGACAGTGCAGGAGCCATTATAAACTATAAAAAAAAAAGAAACGAAAAACAGATAAACAACAGAATTCTATTGGCATGCGGTTCTCCTATAGCATTTTGCTGTCATTTAACACTTTTATTTTAAAAAGACAAGAAATTAAAGCTAAAATACTCACCATTCTGCTGAAACTGAGGGTCTCGCAGCCGGCCTTGGATCCTGCTGGAAGGATGCCAGTAAGGTAGGAAACCCGGAGTGGAATGTTGCCCGGGGGTGTTTGTCTGATATTCTGGAACTTTGGCTTCCCAGTCTTCCCGCAAAGGCAGGGGATCAACTGTCTTGATGCCAGCAGCAGGAGAAGTCAGCAGAGACATAGCACGGTGGTTTCCTGTCTAGATGACAAGAAGAAATTGAATTTAAAAAAAGATGCACATGTGTGTGCAAAAGTAAAAAAGGGGCAGCGTTCAAACACAGAACGATCACAAGTCACAGAAGATGGGGGAGAGGGACACAGAGCCCATGGAGAGAAGGCTACGTGCATAACCACCAGCATAGAGAAACAGACCTGCTGACGGAAAGACAAAATGTACATTAACAATGCATTGAAAAGGCAAACAAGGCAAACGCGGGAAGACAGAGCAATGGTGAATTATTATCACACTCCAATTGTCCCTCCTTAGAAGCAGGAAGAGGCAAGCTTCATCACGAAGCAGAAGACATTCGCCGGTGATTCAGGCAGATGTGAGAGTAAATCACAGAATAAAAGCAATGTTCATTTACCACCGTAAAAGTTAATTGAACACAATATTACAGAAATGACACAGACGTAGAAAGACAGGAACCTTCTACAGACTTACTGGGGCTCACCCTTTATGAGAGCCCAGAAAGACACAACATAAACTTTAAATTGTGTCTGCTCTGGTCTACAGAGCAAGTTCTGGAACAGCTCCAAAGCTACAGAGAAACCCTGTCTCAAAGAACAAAACAAAACCAATTGTGCCTGCATTAATGCTATATTAATACTTGGGAAACAATGACATGAGAGGATAATTGTAGCTGACAGATGGATTTCTTTATATTAATGATAAATAAAAATGAAATGATATACATCTGAAAACTATATTTGGATAATAGTATCTGGCTCTAGAATTTTTAATTATAGATTAAAATAAATGATGCTTAATGGTGCAAAAATATGTTTGCAGTGCAGCTAAGTAAGCAAAAAGTAATCAGAAAAAGATGTATATAATCTGAAATAAAACTAGCACATAAAAAAAAACAAAAAAAAAGTTATGAAACCCTGCCTGTAGGATGGCAATTATTTATACACTATTACTAAGTACCTCAGAGCTCAACACTGATGACCTCACAGACAGCGGGCATGGAGGCAATCCTTTTCTTACTGTGACCTGATTTCCACAGTGACAGCGCAGCTTAACCCTGAGTTCCACAGATTGCAAACACAGGCACAGACCTAGTCACCCCCTGAGTGCTCCTCCTACCCTCATCTGAGCCCATGGATGGGACATTTATGCAGTTCCAACCCAAGCAATCATTTTCCATGACTGCAGAGTGGATGGCTTCCTCCCGAGTAGAAGACAGATCTCCCACTGACCTCCCCTTACTCCTGACACTTAGGGAGTTACAAGTCGCACTAAAGATGCAGTTTTTCCTTCCTCTGTGGCTCACAACTCTGTCACCTTGGTTTTACCACTGCTAAAAAGAGCTGAATGAAAGCTTACAAAACACTTTAACTGATGGCATCTGGAGCTGACCAGCAGCTAAGCCACACAATTTTCAGCATCTCCTCAAAAGGGCTTCCACTATACTTCAGCCGCTCACTCTACATGACACCCGGCATTCCTGGGAAACTACCTCTCCGTTATCAGTTCCTCACCGTACTCGCGACCTTTTACGTGTGGGTGTGCCCTTACACAGGTGTAGATGGAACTCCACCAAGGAGCAAACGTTAACCAAGTCCTGTTAATCGGTGCTACTACAATCTGGCAAGTTTCAGTCTGAGAAGACCTTCCCTCCACTGATCTCCCATCCACTCTGAGCAGTGCTCCTCCCTAGCCTATTCGATTCCGATAGTCAATCACTGCCATCGCTGCCCTCAATATCCCACAATTTTCTTATCTCCTTTCTCATTCTGTCCTGCTCTTGGCAAAACATTATCACAAGTCCAGTTAAACCAACTTACAACATCGCTGTAACGAGACACACCAGGAGAAAAGACACAAGCAATGCAAGTTGTTTTCCGTCGAATGTGTGACTAGCCCAAATGGCCCTAACAATGCCCTGTGCCACACAGTTTTCCTGGCTTCCTCTCTCAATCTCTCTGACTTGACACTTTAATGCCTCCTCTTCTTGATCTAAAAGATCAACTGGCTCTTTCTCAAACTCATTCATGGCAAGGATATTTTCCCCACACCCCCAAGACGTGTTCAGAAGACTCTTTCTCATGCTCCCTCTCAGAGCTTTTTGTGCTCACCGGCTCTCCTCCCTCTGTAACAGCAAAGGGGCTGGGGTGTGCCTGACACCGCCCTGCTGCTCTCCAGGCACCTAAAACCTTTATTCTACTCAACAACTTTACAACAATTTTGCCCTCCCCCCATGGGTGAGCACTCTATTGTCTTTCCCATTTTGGAGTCACTGTATGCCCACAGCTCCTTCTTTGCTTTCTTGGAGACAGCACTGGAAAGAATTGTCTCTGGAAGCTGGGAATGTAGTCAATGGTACAGCATTTGCTAATCATGCCCACTGCTCTGGGATCAACTCCTGCAACTACCAAAAATAGACAGGCAGACAGATAATAGATACATACATACATAAATACATAGATGATAGATAGATAGATAGACAGACAGACAGACAGATAGATAGACCCGCAGTGGTTTTCTCTAACTCTCCCCTTTCTTTTCTATTTAATCTCTTGCATTTAGGCTTTTACAAGATTCTAATTTATTTCTAAGTCTCATCCTGACTTAGCTGCACTAACTCTCGTTTTTCTTACTTTTATTTGTGTGTGCCCTCATACACATTTGGGTGTGCTTGTGAATGCAGCGGCCAGCTGACAGCACTGGATCCCCAGGGGATGGTGTTCCCAGCTGTTGCCAGGGACTTGATGCGGGTGTTGGGACCCACATTCAGGTGCTCTGGAGGACAGCAAGCAGTGAGACACTGAGCTCATGCTCCCTTCCTGCGACCTCCAGCACACTGCTGACTATCACTGTCTCACTGGTTGTCTGCTTTGCCTGGTTACTTCTCAACTTCCTACCATCAAAACCTGCGGCTCAGACATGTCTACACCTCCTCTTCACTGTTGATACCTGTCCCCTCGATCACCTAAGTCTTTAAATACCTGTAAAATATAGATATTTATAACACACATATAAAACATACGTGTTATACACAACATATATGCATGCATATTATATACATATATATCTGTTGTGTGTATATGTGTGTGCATGTACACATATGTGTATTGTGTGTTTGTGTATATGCTTGTGTACATGTATATGTGTGTTAATGTACATGTGTATATGTGTGTATACATACATATGCATGTAGATATACGTGTTATGTGTGTGAAACACAGAGCATCCAGTATCTCTCCTTAGCCCACTTTTCAAAAACATAGCTACCATCAGCATGTCTGCTCATACAGCTCATAAGCTTCTCAAATCTTATACATCCTAAAGAGAACTCCTGCTATTTCTGACAAACCTTTTCCTATCCATCTTTCCTATCTCAGTTTAAAAAGCAACTCAGCCCCTCTTGCTCAGGCCAAGCATTTCCCGGTCATCCTGATTCTTCTCTTCCTCCCATGCCATATCCCAGCTTTCAGCGACTCTTGGCAGACGTCTTCAGAGCGCATCCAGAACTGGCCTTCACCACACTCCAGTCACCATCGTGTCTTCCTGAGTCTGGAGACGGGCTGCTTCTCACACGTGCCCGGTCCCTGCGTCCATCCTCTCTAGAACGGAGAGCATGCCCCTCCTCTGCCACCCAACGCTATGTCACTGAAAACAACATGGATGTCTTTCCTATGACCTACAAAGCCCTACACAACTTGGCACAGCTTTCTGTCTCAGGACACATTACCCTGGAGGCTATTCTCTGCTCCAGGTGACAAGAACACGGGGCTGGTACTCAATGAACTAGGTGTCCTCTCACCGTAGATTTTTCATTTCTGTTGTCTGTGACGTCATCTCAGCCATGCTCAGGGTCAGTCTTCCTTCCTCAGATTCTGCTTCAACACCTCCCTCTTGGGAAGGACCTGCTGGACCACCTCCTGCTCATCCCCCTGCCTGTTCCTCTCAAATCACTGACGCCTACCCGTGTGTTTTACGTTCACTCTCGTGACTGTGGCCCCACCCTCCACTGGACAGTAACCTCACTGAGCCCTAAGACTTCTGTCTAGTTTTTATCTCCAGAGCTCAGCAGTGTCTGAAACATGATCGGAATACAACTACCAGACAACAGATCGCATTTTCCTCCTTCCTTCCCGATGAGTCAGTACTAAGAATATGTGAGAACAATACAATGTCAAGACCAAATACATCAGTCAAATACCCAGTGCCTTTGCCTTGCCCTACCAAAAGATTAACAGCAATATTTCTACATTCAGTAGGCGGGATTTTCTGAGGACTCGGTCTAGACGTCACCTATTACAAGAGACCATGTGAACCCAAGAAGAGAGGCTTTCCTCTGAAACACGTGTCTACCTTAGGAAGGTCTCTCTTCGGAGCATCTATGCCATCCTGGGAGGATGCTCTCTTCCTCTGCTCTGGGGTTGAAGGTTTCCCTTTAGATGGTGACACTAAGACAGCCCCACCTGGAAAATCCCACAGAAACCAAGTGTCAATCACACTAAGCTACATTCTAAACAGGCAGACTATTGGTGTGGGAAAATTGTCTGTATTCTGTCAATCATGTTATAAATAAACGCTGATTGGCCAGACAAAAAATATAGACGGAAAAACCAAACAAAAAATAAAAATGATGTAATGAAAACAGAAAAATTCTGGGAAGGAGGAAGTTGATTCCTCCCAGTCCTGCCCAGGCCACCGAAGCAGGAGGATATGATCTGCCTCACTAAAAAAACGTACTGAGCCACATGGCTAACATAGATCAGAAAAATGGGTTAATGAAGATATGAGAGTTAGCCAGCAAGAGCCTAGAGCTAATGGGCCAATCAGCTTATAATTTATAGAGACCTATGTGTGATTTTCTTTGGGGCTAAACAGCTGGGGGTACCGGGCAGGACAAAAACCCCAACAACAAGCCAGGCCCGTTCATGTTTCAGACTACGGATGGCAGGTTTGACCATTACCAACAGCCGGAGTCGTGAGGTCATGGTGGGTCCGCTGCATGCCCAGTTCTCTCAGTTTCGGAGTGGGAAGCCTTCCCCCCTTTCCTGAGGAAACAGAAGATAACTCCGACCTAAAAGGTGAAACAATCTATTAGGAAGCCTCTCTTCCAGAAAACTACGATCAAAACTACGTCATCAGTTATGTAGATAGTAATAAAGCATAAACTGTCTAAGAGACGTTTCCTACAATCCCAGTATTAGGAGGAGGGCATGGAGAGTCATGAGTTCCAAGGCAGCCTCAATTACTCAGGGAAGCCCCTGCCCTAAAAACAATCTTTTTAAAAATTCTTAATTCATTTGTAGTACTAGAAAGGAGGGGCGATCACTGTAAGTCAGCAATCCATGGCTAAGTCGTCTTCCCTTTAGTCAGCACCAAGTTACATACTCCTGCAACACCCAGGCGTGAACAAAGGGTTTGACTATAGCCAAGACGGACCATTAGCAAGAGCCAAGAGTGCCCCCAAGCGGTCTACGCATACAACGGCTGTTATTAGTGATTTTCAGAACCCACTTTAAAACACTACAAACCAGTAGCCTCCCCTCCTTGGCAGAACCATCAGAAATTAGTAAACACCAGCTTGATCCACGAAGCCATCCTTCCAGACACATTACAAATCTGATAAGTCCTCCCCACCAGGGTGTCACTGAAAACATCTGTGTCCTCCTGAAGGAGCCCCACTGCTTCTGTTCTCCATGAGCACCAGTTGGAGCCACTGCACAGCATATACCACGTGGCAGTGCCGACTTCACTGCGTCAAAGCAAACCCTGCTCTTTATTAGTCATACAGTTGCAGGGGCAAAGCCCTACACCTTGTGACGAAGCAAACACACATTAGTCATGTGCTAGAATGTTCGCTATGTTGAGAAGTTTGGGTCTTACCTTTCTTTCATTCTGTCTGCGTTAGACTTGTCCTGTGTGTCCAGTTTCTCGGACTCGCCCACATAGAACTGCTTGTCTCTCCCCCTTTCCTCCTCCCCGTCTCCCGTGGGCTGCTCCTGTGTGTCTTCGTTGGGGCTCTCTGAGTCCCAAGCCAGCTTCCTCCTGACGGGCAGGGTGGCCGCCTCTTGCAGGGCATGCTTCCCAGTGGTATTTTTCGGGGACTGCTCTCCCAAGGCAACTTTTCTTTCCTCTAGTTTGGGAGAAGGATGTTTCTGGGGAGTCTTGTGGCCTGTAAGATTGCTGCACAACAGAGAAAGTTTCGCTGTAAGTGTGCATTCGAGTGTTTCAGTTTATACTGGTCTAGTGAGTTCATAACCTTCCTTCACTTGTTTCCCACAGCAAGGCCTTGTCTGGGTACTGAAGTTACTGTGGAATATTAAGTGGAAGTTACGTCTGCCTACCTTCACACTTATATGCTTGCACTTCTGGTGGCAAGGCCATTGTTTACCCTCACCATGAAAAAGACTAACACCCCAACTAGGCTAATCTGTTGTAACTAAATTCATATCCATGTACAATATACATGTGAACAAGTATGCAGATTCAAATTTTTATATATTAATTTTTCTAAAACATTATTAAAGACTACATTATTAAACATTATTAAAGCTACAACACACTCTTCCCACCACCCACAAAGAATACCTCACCCGGCAAGATCCAGTGCTCGGATGTTGCTACTAATGCTTCCTTCTGAGCTCGTGGTTGAGGAGACATCCCAACAGCAGTTGCTATTGGACAGAATCTGGTTCAGATGGTCCCGAGAAAAATGTGTTCCCTGAACTCGCTTCCTGTAAGACTCAGCCTTTTCCCGGAGTTCCTTAACCTACACCGAAGAGTGCAGATGCCGCTTGTTACTCACGGTCTTACAGATGTCAGCAAGCACATATCAAAGCCAATGAGAAAGGAAGGCAAGAATAAAGCCACAGAACTCCTCGGACTATGCATTGAAGCAGAGATTAAGACAATTAAGTTAAAGCACAATGCAGTTACTTTACTTCAGACTAACAGGCAAGGAGACATTTGTGGCAGCTAAGAAAAATACTAAAACATACTTTTATTGCAAATGAAATTGTACAAGTATTCTATGCATTATTATAGTTTTTAAGAACTCAAAAGCAACCAACCTCTGCATACCACATGGCATTTAGAGAACCCTAGAGGAGGAATACAGAGACACACTTAATGACAGGTTAACGCCATAAATAAGTATTAATGGGGGTCAGTGAGATGCTGTACCTTATTATTCGTACTTCTAAATATAAATAAACTTGTCAATCACTATTTCTTGCATTCTTAGTAACATTTAACTCAGTAACCAAGACATCTCAATGCTGCCTCAAGGATCAGCCACATTTCTTGCTCCCCACCTCTGGCTGTGACGGTGCTGTAACAGGTAACTGATTGTTATCCCTAGTCTCTGGCTGTGACAGTGCTCTAACAGGTGACTGATTGCTGTCCCTAGCTCTCCACCTCTAGAAGAGTGCTGACATGTCATAACTCCCCGCCTGGCTACTCCCCCAGCTTTCTACAGAGCTGCTCCTGTGACAGAAGATCCTCTGAAAAGTTCTGAGGTTCCCTCTCCAAACCACTCAGTTTTCCTTGGAGTCAGCAAAATCTCAACTTTTTTTTTTAAAAAAAGCACTAATTAAATATATATTTGAGTAAAAATCCCTACCAAATAATGGTTGTATATTCATAAGTAGCAAGATTATTTTTTTTAAATTATGATGAATACTTCGCATTCCCTAACCTGCAAGTAAGTTGCTTTCCTATGAAAAGAACCCTAACTGCCCACTGGAAAGCCTTTTACCCCACACATCATACTGCCACCTGCTGGCTTCTCTAAATGCGAATAAACTGTGTAGAAACCACAACACAAAAAGCTAAACCGTTAAAATCCGGCTTTAAAAATCTTGTTTATTACATTTAACAATTTTTATTGCCATTAATAATTCTGTAATTTTAAGCACGGAATTCCCATATTTCTGTAAAATCCTTTATCCCTTGACAATTTATTTTAGGTATGACTGTTAACAGTGTCATGTTTTAACCTTCAGGGGAAAAAAACTGATTATGCCTTTATTATTACTGCGTCATTCTTTAGTAGTAGTGTGTGCATGCGGGCATGTGTGTGTGTGTGTGTGCGCGTGTGAGCGTGTGCGCGTGTGTGTGTGGTCAGAGGACAACTGACCTTACGGATTCAGCTCTCTCTACCACGTGGAACCCCAGAACCAGACTCGGGCTGCTGCAAGCCCTTCCCCTACTGAGCCTTCTCTCCATCCCTAAAATTTGTTCATTTTCTACCATAAAGGTTGAGACTCTTGTACTGCTGCTGGACTCCACGCTAAAACTGCTTGCTTCACTTAAAGGCAAAAGAGAAAGCAATCAATGAAATCTGTGATGCAAAAGCCATTGGGGAAACTCCCCACGGCTCCTCAGAAGACAGCTGGTAACAGGGAGAGCAGTGCACGTCTAGGGGAAGAGCCATCACAGAGATAGTACCTGCTGTAGCATAAGGGACCACGCAACCCCAGCAGAGCGCTCTTATGCAGGAGAACTTAAAAATATCTGAGGAAGAAACTAAAATCCTACTTGTCTTCACCACCAAAAATAAACTATGTATACATCAGTTCTACCAACTCCTATACTTCAAGGGGAATCCGCACTAGCAGTTTGTACACCAGCGGCAGAACTAGGTCGTCTGGTTTAAATGTGCTGAGCAACTCACAGGGCATTCCGAGCGAGCAGGAAACCTGCTACGAAATGCCCATGTATCAGATGTAACACCTGCAAGCCTTAGGATCACTCCCCTGTGTGCTCACGGTCTCTCTCCAGGAACCTGTGAACATGTAGCAGGGAGGGGCCGTGCAGTGCCAAAGCAGGAACTCTGCAGCTGTGTCCAGAGTGTGGACTGGGCAGCAGAGGAAGAGAACGGCCAGAGCCAAGAACTCTCAGAGTCAGTGGGCTCACAGTGACCAAGGACGCAGGCCTGCATCTATACGACCACCCTAACACTGGCACAGTCTGCGCCCTAATAAACAAGTGAGGTGTACACTGAAGGGCGGATTCAATGGGGGCTCCAATCAGCACAGACCTGAGGGCTGAGCAGTCAAGGAGGCTGCAGCCTATTCAAAAGGACGCCTAAGATGGTGGATGAAGAGCCCTCTGCATACAGCGAACCCCTTTGGATACCAATTATTCAGAAGGATGGAGAGCAGACACTTATGGAAATCCGGTACAACCATTCAGTTCTATTTCACAAATCTTCATCTGCCATCCTTCCTAATAATGTCAGTGTCTGACATTTAAATGTCTAAATCCTAAACTCAGATGAAAGGCGAAGAGGCCAGCATCACTCACAGCATCTCTCACAGGTCTACGGACATGAGGGGGACACTGAATGTGGACTCCAGAAATAACCCCTAAGACCAATGACCAGACCACTATAAAGAATAGGAATAAATTATTCCCAACTAAACAGTCTATATAGCAATGCTATTCAATGACAGGACATAAATACCTTAAGCAGTGGGCAGAGAGATGGCTCAGAAGTTAAGTCATTTGCTGCTCTTACATAGTACAGAACCCACATCAAGTGGCTTATAACCACTTAGAACTCCAGTTCCAGGGTATGCAATGCCCTCTTCTGGCCTAAACACACACACACACACACACACACACACACACACACACACCATCTAAACACTGTAAGTAGAATATTTTCATGACCAAACTATTTTTCCCAAATTGAACTAAGTCATTTAAAATTTACATGCAGAAAATTCAAATTCAGAAAAACTGAGAGAAACAACTTTTTTCTCAAAAATCTTGCCCCCAAATGAGGACCAATCTCATAGATGGTTCTTATATAGCATCTGCTGAATTACAGGAGCTCTCAAATGTGAATCTTTATCTAAAATCAAAGGCCTACGTGTCCTCAACAGTCAAATCAATAACTAGTCAAAAAGACTTCTTGCCAGCCAGCCATTGTGACAGATGCCTGTGCTGCCTACATGGGAGACACTGAGGCAGGAGGACTGCTGTGAATCCAAGATCATACTCTTTTCCAAAAACAAATTAACTTAAAGCAAAAGCAGATTCATTATTAAAGAAAATATATAATGTTCTTTTAAGAATGGTATCAAACATCCATGCAATGGTAGCACTATACAGGTGTGGAACAGACAACCACATTCAAAACACACACACCAACACTCCATGAATAAGCATATGAGACTTAGGATAGAACACCCAGTAAAGCTGCAAAAATGGATTCCAAAAGAGCAGCATTTTGAAACTATAGAAGATTATGAGTCAGAAGCTGAGTTACTGTAAGGATTGCAGGCTGGAGTGACAGCTCCGTGCCCAGAGTGCCTGCCAGCACCGGTCAGTAAAGAGCTCCTGGCACTCAACGGCAGCCAGTCTAGCCCATAAGTGAGCTCTGGCTTCCACAGCACAGCCGAGTATGCACAGTGCATACACCACACATACACAGGATACACACCACAGCATGCCAGGAAGGAGGGAAATAAAGAATACTTGATAGTCAGGTACCACAAATAACAGTCCAGAAAAAAAATCTAGCATTTTAGCAAAATACAGCCCAGTATTATAAATGTCTGGAACCTGGTTAATAAAAACTGATCACTGATTCCATAGAGAATTGTTATTCTGTTAGTTTTTTTGAAAAAAAAAGGTTAATACAAACTTCACTCCTAATTTATATACCTATAACTTCCAGTAATACAACTCACAAAAGGTTACAGCATCAAGATATCATATTAGGTAAAATCAAGAAAAGAGACCTTAAATTACAACACAGCATTCTCCTCCATTGGGGCAATACAAGGAATTTCATTTGACTTCAACATCTCTACAGCCCTCTCAATCCACTGAACATTTAGAGTTGAGGACTAAATACCAACTTAAAGGAGCCACACACTAGCCAGGAATCTTCCTAACACAAGACTTTCTCATGGCCTCAGGCCCTGTCCACAAGCCCTCAGCAGCCACACTGCTCTGTGCTCCCCAATTTCTCCTGCCCTGCCCACTTTCCCAGATATTCTCTGTGCTAAGACAAGAGCTTGGGGTTTTCCATCCTTTCCTGCTTTGGATGCTCAGTTGTTCTATTTGATTTCAGCAGAGTGAACAGACAAACGGCCCAGATGAAACGGGAGCTGCCCGACTCTTCTGTCCCGTGTGGCCTGAACTAGGCTCAGGCAGACAATACTCAGAGTGACTGCAATAGATCCAGAAACCTCCTGAAACAGAATGCTGAGGCAGGAATAGCAGGACATTCATCTGGGAAGGGCAGCAGCTCAACGGGGCCAACAGCTGCCCCCGGCTGTCCCCGGAGGCTGATACACAATTGCAGCCATGGTCTTCAGCCCTGAGCTAAACAAACGCATTTTCCATCCGATGCATCCTCTTTGAAAAGGTGGATGGGGAAGAATGTCTGTTATTATATAATCTAACCAAAAATGTTTTAATTTAGCTTGTGTACATGGAAAAGGTCAAAAACTGTCAGGATGTAGTTTTAAGATACTAATTATTTAAACGTTCTGCTATTTGTCCTTGAAGCCCCAGCTCTCTGTACTGGGAAATAACTGCCCTTTCCTCTGGCCTATTTAGGTCCCCAGTTCCTCCCCTATGTCAGGGCACCCCCCCCTTGAAACTGAATGAGCTCAGGCTACACCTACCCTTTCCTTCGTGCAGCAATGGCACAAACTGTCAGCAGCCTTCTTATCACATACATCATTGATTGGACAATGACCTTCAGTTGAGAGACTGGAGGTCTGAATGTCATGAGAAACAAATCAACAATGTAAGTTGAACTGATTAAAACTATCAGATAGTTAGTTGATGGTAAAAAATGACTTTGATAATAACTGACCACACTGTCAGTTACTACCTACAATTAAGAGGGTGGAATCTGGCATGCTGTTACTGTCGATGGGTAGGCTCACCTGGTTTGGCACGTTCTCCTTCATGTGTGTCCAAGCTCCAGCTTTATATAAATACTGAGCTGGGCTCAGAAACTTGGCTCTATATTCAGAATTCACCTTGCTGAGAAAAACAGAATGGAAGTAAGTATTTCAGCATGCTGACCACCCAAAAATGACTGTCGCCTTATCAAACACATACCCAAGCCTTTGGTGTCTCCACGAAGAAAGCTTCCTTTTAGGCTGGTCTGTATCTTCTGATGCCATCTCTACTTCTAATTCTAAAGGCTCGTCTGCCTTGTTATATTGAAATGGAAATAATTTCAGCATTTATGCTTAGATATGTCATACATTAAAGTAAAAACACCAGCTGTTATAAAGGTAGGCTTGCAAATCCAAATACATTTTTGCTTTTTTAGATGTTTTAGCTACTAAAGAAAACAAGAAAAGTCAACAAGTTTTGAAACCAATGAGTTTAGACCCCTGACTAGGGTTTTGTTGTTTTGTTTTTGTAATTTAAAGATTAACCAATGCCATCTAAATATTAAGCCAATGACACTACTACATACTGAACAGAGATTTTGAATTAATCCTTAAATTTACATTCCAGTGTTATAGTTATTAAAGTTTTGCTAATTAAGTTACCACAGTGCTTAATAGAATAATTTTCCATCCCCAGGAATGTCATGAAAAGAAAGCATAAGTGTGTGTTGTGTGCACACGCATGCGTGTGCATGCACATGAATGATGAGTACATGTGAGTGAGCATTTGCATCCATGCACACATACACAGGTATATACCTTTACTTTCAGTCATATACTTTCTATTTTTAAAAACCACAAAGTAGCAGGTAACATTACTACAGGAGACTGAAAACAATATTCTATATTTCATTTTTCTATAATCTGTAATGATTTTATTCTGATGCCACCCATAACTTAGAATACCTGTAAGTTCACACGCAAACCCAGTGAATGTAAATTCACTGAAGTAAATGATATGAATTACTAACTATAATTTAGCATAATAAAAAGCTTGTCTTAAGATAGATATGTGCTATGTTTAATGGGCACTACCCTGAAATACACCTTTCCATCACTCTGGCTGCCCTGGAGCTCTCTGCAAGGCCAATCACATAACATTAGACACGGAAGACTTACCTGGGGGACTGCTAAGTATGGCCATGCTCTATCAGTGTTAGTTACCTATGCATCTTTCTCCCAGCAGCCTAAGCGCTGCTGAGCCTTGCTGAGTCTGCAGCTGCATCTCAGCACACACACAGGACCTGGGTCTGTAAGCGGCCAATGAACATCTGGCATTTAACAAACAAATGAGTTAATGCTAGCAGCCGGCAGGGAATTCAGTGTAACAGAGACCGTGAGGAGCTGGCAGATACCTTCTTCTCTGGAGACAATGTCTTAAGGCCACTGTTCCCTTTCAAACCCTCCCTTAGCTTTGGTTCCTTCACTGAAGACAAACCCTTGAAATTCCGCCTGTATTCAGTCTCATGGACGACTGTGTTGCCTTTGAATTGTGGAATAATTTGGCTTTTATTACGGAAAACCTTAAAACAGACAAAGAAATAGTTCAGTTTTTGGTTAGTTATTAAAGTGACACAGAACTTAGGTGTTTAATTGCTCTTAAAAACTTATAAAAAGTTGAATTATTTATAATACACAAAAAGGCAAAATTGTATATGACTGCAATTTCATTTCACAGGTGTCGTTAGTGGCCAAAGGTCAAATTTCTATACTCATTACCATGTTCAAATAGTCAAATCACGATCAAAATATTACTTAAGCAAAAATAAACCACATTCCTTGTCTGATTTTTCTCTTCCCAGAGTTCCCTGCTTCCTCCCACCAGTGAGATAATGAACTAAGTATATTTTCATAATATGAACAGACATGAGCTTTACTAAAGTAACTGTGGTCAGCTCTACAGATTATGTTTCTCCTTGCAGAATTTCCCTTTTTACACTGGTGGAAATGCAAGTTGGTACAGCCCCTTTGGATGTCAGTGTGGTGATTTCTCAAGACCCAGCAATACCACTTTTGGGTATATACCCAAAGGATGCTCAATCATGCCACAAGGACATGTGCTCAACTATGTTCATAGCAGCTTTGTTTGTCATAGCCAGAACCTGGAAACAACCTAAATGTCTCTCGACCAAAAAATGAATAAGGAAAATACATTTACACAGTGGTAAAACAAACAAACAAACAACATCTTGAAATTTGCAAGCAAATGGATGGAGCTAGAAAATATCATATTGAGTGAGGTAACCCAGACCCAGAAAGACAATTAACATAGGTACTCACTCATAAGTGGTTTTTAGACATAAAGCAATGAAAATCAGACTACGAACCACAATCCCAGAGATTCTGGACAACAATGAGGACCCTAAGAGAGACACACATGGATCTAATCTACATGGGAAGTAGAAAAAGGACAAGATCTCCTGAGTAAATTGGGACCATGGGGACCATGGGAGAAGGTTGAAGGGGAGGGAAGAGGCAGGGAAGAGAGCAGAGAAAATGTAGAGCTCAATAAAATCAATTAAAAGAAAAGAATTCCACTTTTACTGAAATAACATAAAATGGTGCCTGATTTGTTCAATCTGGGATTTTTTTTCCTTGCCCTTTGCATGCTTAGATTTAGCATTTTCATTAAGGCAGAGAGAGCATCCATCAGTTACTGTATTTCTCTTTTAAACATTTTCTTTCATCCATAATATTCAATATGGTTTCCATGCACCAGTATATTACCTCCAATGACAATGAAATCCCAGGAGGCCAAGTAGGACTCACACCACTACGGCTTTGCAACACTGAAGAGCACTTCTTTACGTAGACCCAATCCAAACACATCTCAGTACAACACAACCTCAGGGCTTTTCAGCCAAAACTATTCCAACTCTCTTCAATATTAACATGACGACCTTATTAAGATGAGGCACCTGATTAAAAGCAGACAGCTCCTTTGGCGGAGCCCTGAAAGCTACCAGCGAGCTCCGCCAGGCCTCAAAGCTTTGAACTTACAAAGAGCATTTGCTTCCCAAAGAAACCCTTTGAAAGCCTCGCTAATGAAAGCAATCGGATCACTGATGAGACACCACTGGCGGTTTGTTTCACGTTGTCCTTCTGATCCTATGGAAAAATCATTTCTGCAAAATGCTTTCAGTGGCACGTAAAATTTGTGAAGAGATCTTGGATTTGAGTCAGCTCTAGCTATAGGTCAAAGGCTCTATGAAAACAAAACTCCATTTTCAAGTCACGGGTATTTTTTAGGGACACTTACGATCTAAGAACACTTGAAAGCAAGCAAGAAGAAATGGTGGTCTTATTTATTAGGTCCTAAAAAGAGAACAACACTTTGTGTTACACCTCACAGGATCCTAAAACATATAACAAGTAAACAAGGCTGCCACGGTTTATATGGCCAGAGGTGTGCAGATGCCAGTGTAAAATCACAAAGGTTAAGCCACGCTGCATCTACCGCCCTCTCCGTGCTCGGGTACAGAGCGGGCAATGAGCACTGAAATCCAGGCAGAATGAATGGAGGGCGTGGAAGGGGGCCCTGACTTATAAAGAAAAACACAAAGATCAGGGAAAAGATGAAGCTGCCATGTCAGGGGGCTGAAAGTGAGAAACATAAGTAACAATTCAGAGGCTAACAACTCTCCAGAAGACAGCAGCAACTAACAGAGTGTTTATTAGCAAGGTAATAAAATACTAAAACTGCACAAGAATATAATGAAATCTAAGAATCTAAATATAATGACATACAAATACAGCTAAACTCGATTCCTGTCATCATTCAGCTGATTCAAGGGAACAATCACACCAAGGGCTACTGTCAATGTACTTTGCATTTATTCACTACCCAAAACAGCTATCTTTCTTTAAAAAAAACATATCATACAAAAACATTAGTCAAATAAACAACAGTTTAGAATATACCTAATTTAATGATTTAAAAGGTAAATGACCTAAAAAGCCCTTTTGGTGTGGGAACACTTGCCACCCCCGGCTTTCTCGCTGTTCTGCCTCCTGCTTAGCGGGTCAGGCCACAGCGACCATCAGCAGCACAGGCCTGAATATTATTATATAAATCATAAGGGAAAGCAGGAGTCCAGCTAAACCCTCACTCTGTCTTTCAGAACCTAGACCCAGGCCTAGGTCAGTCCCGACTTTCTCCCAGCTTAGTTCCACATGAGCCTGCATTACTAAGCCAGGCTAGCATGTTCAGAAACATACCACAGCTGCTCCACTACCTGACTGGCTGGAAACACAGGAGCAGTCTCTTTACGGGTCTTCCACACAAACTGCCTCTGGTATTCAGAATTTCTCAAGGCATTGTACGACGGAACAACAGCCAATCCAGCTTTCTTACGAAGATGCCTATCCAACTGTTGGGGAGAAGAAAACCCAGGCAAAGCTATTAAAATCTGTTCCTTTTTAAAGTGTGCTATAAACCATGTAACATGAAATTCATCCCCTTAAGTTTTAAGTGTTCCTTACAGTATTGCCAACTACATGCACACAGTATAGCAAACTTTTAACTTCTAATCACATTTAACAGTCAAAATATTTAAAATTCCTTTCTTAATAATAGTGTCAAGGAGTATTATACATCTAAAAAACAGCGTTGCTCAGTTCCTTCCGTCTAATCATTCACAACTCTAGTATCAAAAAAAAAAAATCACAGCCCCTTGCCCTATCCCCAGTTTCTGTGGCCACCCTTCCCTATGCCCACCAAGCTTACACATCACCTTCCACGGTCCCCCTACATCCTCTGGCTTTCTTAACAAGTCACAGAAGCTCCTCCAGCACTCCCAAATGGTTCCTGGGTTCCGATCAGTGGCTGAAGTAATAAATTCGGGCAAGAGCAACAGAACTGACTGTGGGAGGCAGTGAGATTCCCACACACACACCTGCAGCCTCCACTTATGTGCCTGCTACAGGCCAGCTGTGACATCAGAGCACTTGGAGAGCAGGCCAGAAGGCTCCTTCCTCTCCCTCCTGTCAACTGAGATGCTGTTTGTTCCCTTGCTGGTCACAGTAAGAAAGAGAAACGAGGGTAGGCAGAAGTCAGCTGAGCGCCCCAGCCAAAGAAACAGCCTGCTCCCCTTATGCCTCAATTTGACCTCATCCCTCAGGACTCTGGTGCCAGTCTCTCTGGAGAATAGAATCCAGAAGCAGCTGTTCATCTCGGAAAGGCAATGTCTTAGTACAACCAGTACATAGTACAAAATAGTGACTATTAAGAATAAAGCCATTCTTAGTAACTTTCAGCAGCCTGGTGCATCTAGGCCAGAGACACAAGAAAATATCAAGAAAAAAATTTCAAATACACAATGTAGTAGTAATAAATGATGATGAAACCAATAAAACCTGTCACACTTTTCTAAGAAAATATGATGGACATTCCTACCCTGGGATCTACACGCTCTGCAGGAGGTTTGGTAGAAAGTTCCAACTCTGCTTCTTTGGGATCCACAACGTGGTTTCTTGTTACATCCTGGTGCTTTTCCACAGCACCTGAAGCCCCTTCAGCTCTGGAGTCTGCAGAATGAGATCGAGTTCTCTTGGGAACCCTGGAAGCCTCTAACGAGAGAGCTCTTTCTTGGTTAGCATCTTCCTTTGGCTCTGTCTCCTGTGGATTTTGTGTTGGGAGGGTCTGGGGCTCAGGTGGGACAACCATAGCATCCTCTGTGATGGCTCCGTTCCACTCCAGGGATTTTGTAATCTGAGTGTCATGGTAAGGAACCCTCCTTTTTGAAATAAAACTTGGCTCTTTCGTGATCCCTACAAAACATAGCACATAAAAGTGGCTACTACCAAAGCTCACAGTTGGGAAGTGCTTTTAATAAAACCTACAAGGAGAGAAACAGAGCTTAAAATTGAGAGAGAGCAAGATGGCACCTGCCACCAAGCTTGACAACCTGAGTTAAATCCCCAGGTAGAAAGGACAACCTACTCCCACAAGTTGTTGTGTGACTTCCACACATGCCCCGTCTCTCTCCTCTCTCTCTCTCTCTCTCTCTCTCTCTCTCTCTCTCTCTCTCTCTCTCTCACACACACACACACACACACACACACACACACACACACAGTCCTCCAGATTACAGGACTTTAAAAAACTAACTAGGTAAAGTTTTCAACATCAAATATTTATTCTGCCTTAAAGTAGTATTAAAATTGAACACGGAGGTCACAATGTCCGAAATCTCCTGGCACAAGCCACGGGCATCACAAGGTGAGAGGCCTGGCAGGTCAGGAATGCTGCCTCCGTTTCTGGTTACTTTCCTGTGCTACTTAGAACAATAAGCTCTGGTCTATGAGATCCAGAACTTTCACAAAGCTTCTCCTGTGCACAACAGACCAAGATGAGCAGGATGAGATGTCACCACGCGAGATCCTGGTTCTCCTTTGCCTTGATTTCCTGAGAATTCAAGAGTGACCCTTTAACAAGAGCTAAGACACAGTTTCTCCACATGACTGTCCAGCAGGCACACAGACCAAACTGGACCTCAGCCTCTACTGAGGGAGGTGGAGTCTGCAGCACTGAGCTAATGCTCTAGTTCAGGCCGGGCCCTTCTTTAAATAGAAGGGCTGCTCCACCTAAGAAGAGAAAGACCAGAGCAGAAGGGAAGGGAAGGCGGCAGGAAAGCTGGCGTGAGGTAAACCCAACCTTCCCAAGCCTCTCTCTGAGCGGCTCTGCACTGAAGCAAGGGTCCCGTGCTCACGGGCTCCCTGGTCTTGATGATGTCACTGTACAGAGACAAAGAAACATATGGAGGGAGTGGGGTGATCAGAAAGGGGCATTTTCTAGATCCCGAATTCTGCGTGTGCTCTTGCTTGGCGTTGCTCTATCTGCCATCTGTTTCTATCCGCTGCAGCCTACCGTGGTCCCACTTTCGCTCTACAGGACACGGGAACACATCTCCAGCAGCCCGATATGACCTATGCAACATATTCCAGTAACCCAGGGCTAGGGAGACAAAGGGACAAGAGAGCACAAGGCCCGCCCACTAAGGGACACTGTCTCACAGAAAAGCAAAGGCTAGAAACAACGAAGGAGCTGCAGCTGATTCCATGCTTTCCCGGACGCCCCACAGTTCAAGTGTGGAGATGGCATGGGAAGCCACGCACGTTTGCACCTTAACCTTGAACCACAGCACACAGTTAGCTCTTCGCATAGGAAATCGCTCAATTTGGTAAGTCAGTTCGCCAGTGAGGGTGGCTTTGCAAATTATATTTTCTACGAACTGAACTGAGCCGAGCTGGCAGCTCTAAAGTACAGAAACATCCTTGGGGGCAATTGAAGAGCTTGGGAAAATTAAAGATCAATTTTATAATAGAAGGAAAGTTAACAAGATCTTCCTAACTTTGGGGGGACCAGTAGGGACCAATCCCAAGGTTAGGCATGAGCTCTGCCACTGAACTACACTCTGCTGCCCTCTAAATCTTTTTTTTTTAATTCTTATTGGACGTACCTGTGCGTATGTATAGTGCATGCATAATTGGTGCCCTCAGGGGCAAGATAGTTGTGAGCTGCCACGCAGGTAACAGAGACTAAACCTGGGTCCTCTGCAGGAGCAGCGGTGCTCGAAACCTCAGAGCCATTTCTTCCAGGCCCTCTAATTATTATAGGAAGTATGAAAATAAATCAAAACAAAAATGGAAGACCACTGCTTTAGACTTCTGCTGGAACAGAGGGGAGGGTTTTAGTGACAAGCAAAGAGGACCAATCTCTCATCAGCTACCCTCTGTCTTCCCAGCTCCAGCAAACAAACGCCCCTGGTTTGCACTGTATTGAGAGAACAGACCACAGTCCTAGGTAAGCCCATGGCTCCTTGGTGGCCTCCTACTTCCATTTCTGAGTACCCTGGAATCCTTGTGCAGTTCTTTGTGCTTACCTAAAATTCCTACGAGCCTCCCTCCCCTAAACCATTACTTCCTTCAAAATGTACCCCGCTCCGAGGCGGCTTCACTCACATGGTCTCTTCTCATCACTGGTCCCCTGAATGCTGCTAATGGCAGCTAAAATTTTAAAAGGCAATGGATCAAGTTAACCAATTGTCCAGTGTCCAGTCAGACCCTCTGGCCTTCAGTGAAGACGGTTAGACTTGAAGACCAGTTTAGTTTGCATTCGTTTTTTAAATTTTTTTTATTATTCTTTTATTTTAATTTTATTATTTATTATGGTGTTCTGCCTACATGTATTCCTGCTTGCCAGAAGAGGGTGCTAGATCTCATTACAGATGGTTGTGAGCCACCATGTGGTTGCTGGGAATTGAACTCAGGACCCCTGGAAGAGCTGCCAGTGCTCTTAACCTCTGAGCCATCTCTCCAGCCCTAGTTTGCATTCTTGATCTGACAAACCCTGCAAAATACAGAACACAGGAGGAGAGAAGTTTTCCAGTGTGCTGCCTGAGAACCAGGCTCTGAAGTCAGGCCCTGGACTAAGAATCTTTATGCTGCAAGGAGCCCTAAGGAGCTATCCACACTTCCTTCTGTTCTCCAAACCTAATTTAAACACATCCCCTATTTTACTGCCTTCAAGGCTTGGAGCCCTCACTGTAAGTCATGCCTTCCCCTGGCTTCAGATGCTCACATTTGAGGGCTTACCCATCAGTCACTGTCACACACCACCTATAGGACAATAAGTACTGATCTATGTACATAAAGCCCTCACCAAGCAATGCCTCCTTTGGCCCTACCCAGCAACCATGTGCAATGTGTCTTCCTAAGGCCCATTTGGCAAGGCTTGACTTGCTCAAAGTTATAGTTATTGTAGATTCAAATTCAGATTGATTCATCAATTTGAAAATGAGTTTTAGGGCTGACATTGCCTCCTCAGCATGAGAACCTGAGTTTGACCCCCAGGACCCATGTAAAAACAGCCACATGTGGTGGCATGTTCTTACGTGAGCACTGGCAAGTGGAGACAGATGTGGACCCTTGGGGCTCACGGGCCCATAAAGCTAATCTAATTGGTGAGCTCCAGGCCAATGAGAGACCATGTCTCAAAATGAAGTGGGCGATCTTCCTGAGGAATGATACCCAGGATGGTCCTCTGGCCTCTGCGGGTATATGCACATACGTGGACCTGCACACATACAAGCATAATAAAAAGTATTCTAATAGGAAGCCAAGAGTCCTAGAGCCCTGTGTTTCCAGTGACAAACAGGAGATAAGAGGGCTGTGCTCAGAGATGTGGTACTCCAGGGCTCAATTCTCTCAGGTCTGGAGAGGAAGCATATCAATAAGAACACAGCTCTGAACTCACGAACACTGGCCAAAACAGACGAGTGCAAGCCACGGCTCTGATGCTACCTGAACCTGGGTAAGCTGCTCTACCTACGCTTCTGCTCCTCAAAACGATGGGAGTCTTCCTCCCCATGCTCACCCCTCTCAATTTTCTGGCTCAAGTCCAAACACCCCCAGAAGTACCTTTAAAGGACGGCAAACCTCAAGTGTATTCCCTTCATCTCTACTCTCCAACCTGTTTGCTATCGTGCTATTTTATATACAACCTGAAATGCCTTACTGAGTTTCTTCTTTTCTGTACATAAAGGAGTTTGGGGTCACGGTAGAGCATCAATAAATATTTGCCGACTACATGAATAACGAGTCAGTCAAGACAAGTGGATCTTAATTGTTTTGTAAACAAAACCCAAGGTTTATTCAGGTTATAACAGCTACTGGTTTGCTCCACTTACCTAACTGATCCGATCTAAGTCCGGCCCCTGAGTACTTCCGCCCCACTGAGGGGTTGTAGGACTCTGACAAATATGACTTCTTCCACAGAAAGTTTCTCTGGTATTCACTCAGCCCCTGCAACGCCAAGTGCGAAGTACAATTTGAGCACCGTGTGTAATGAACAGTGTTTTAAAAGCCAGCATCAAAAAGGAAAAACAAAGAAAATCTCAACCTCCAAAGAGTGTTGAACCGCCTAAGAATGATCATTAGACCCAGACAAGCTCCTTAATAATGGCTAATATTTACCCAGCCACGGCTAAGTAGCCCTTTAATCCTCACAACCACCCTGAGGCAGATGGGAGCAGGAGTCTGCCACTCTGAGAGGCTGCCCTTAGCTGGTTCTCTAATCCCAAAGTGTGAGCTCATCATCCCTAGAGATGTATTATAAATCCCCACCAAGTGCATAATATTATGGATTCCACCTAATTCCTTTTAATAAAAGACAACTGCAGAAAAACAAGTTTCCCCTCCCACTTCGCCGACAAGCCCTGAAGAATTAGTGGGGATTTCTGGAACACTATGGCCACCTGTTGCGTAGAAGGGTGCCAGACACAGACAGCTACCTGGAAATGTTAGCAACCCCTAAAACGAACGTACAACGAGGCACGCTGCATACCCACCCACGCTCTCCTCTCACTGAGGGCCTGTTTCCCAATTAAAAGGCACACACACTTTAAGGTTTGCTGGAAAGGGGGTGCTGAATGCAAACATCAGAGGGACCACGGGTGTCCTACACTGAAAGCAGCCTTTCGTCCCACTGTCAAGTGCCCTCCTTCCGTCTCCGCTCCTGGCGCCCCCAGAATGACCCCATGAGGACCCCATAGAACTCTCCCACACCCGCACCTCCGCGATGGACCACGGGTCGGAGCATCCACGGCCCCTGCACAGACTCCAAGCCAGGAGCCTCCGTGAGGCCGAAGCGCGCACCCGGCCACCAGACGCCGAGCCCCCAGCTCACCTTGAAGCGCACCGGCATGTCGCCCTGCGCTTCGGCGCCAGCCCCGCCGACAGTTAACGGGACCTAAAGCCACGAGGGGCGGGGCGACAACACCTGTTCCCTAGCAAGATCCCGGAGCCGGCGTCCCCGACGACGCGCCGGCGCACTCCTCGCCGCTCTCCCGCCCCCCCCGCTCGGGTTTGCTCGGCCCGTTTGGGAGCCTGCAGACCAATGGCAGCCCTTACCGTCATTACGATTAGACCAACCAGCGCTCGCAAGGGCGCCGCCCCGCACCCCGGCCTGCTGCGGGGGAAGGAATGGCGGGCGGAGAACCAGCCAATGAGGATGCGGGAACTGCGGTGGGCGGGGCCCGCTGGAGCTGGGTCCCGGAGGAGGCTGTGGCACCAGTGCTCGCACTGCTCGATGACCTGAGTGGGTGCCAGCCCTGTGCCGGCCGAATTCCGCCACCTCGCTGGTTCCAGGCGTCTGGCATCACAGACCGTGAACGCGCGCCTGGCGTTCCAGAATGCACGACAGAACCCACAGTTTCTTTTTCCTGAAAGGAAATTGTCCAGGAGGACCTGGCTGAAAACCTGTTTCTAGCAACAGCCGCATTACACTAGCTAGCCTCAGATCAAAAAGGATAGGTCCAAAACTGCACACGACGTTGGCAGATTATTAAGATAATCTTATTAAGACCACGAAACCAGCACTGCCGTCTTTCCATGGTGTTCTCCCAAGGGGGGAAAAACAGAGATTCATATCAGGCCTTAAGGGGAGGGCATTAGGTTTGTGAATCGCAACTACTAGTCCTTCAGCCTTGTTTTTTCTCTCATCCATTTTTAAAAATAAAATTCTATCTATAGACCAGGCTGGCTTCAAACTCACAGAGATCCTCCTGCCTCTGCCTTGGGGGTGCTGTAATTAAAGGTGTGACAGGGTGAACTCTGAGTACGGGGCCGGCCTGGTTGGTCTACGTTTCCAGTACGGCCAAGGCTACACAGAGAAACCCTAAATATGAATGAATGAATGAATGAATGAATGAATGTCCTTCTGACTTAAATAGGCTATTTTGCCTATTATCCTAAATATTCTTAAAATTGCTCACTCTAAAAGTCAAGAAAGAAATTGTTCGGGCATGCCAGGGAAAGATACACATAGATTTATTTAATAATAGTATAATGTGTCCCAGGTTCACTAGTATAATGTGTCCCAGGTTCACTTCCCAAATAGGAAACATGAATAAAAAGTTTGAAGCAGAGAAGTCATTCCCTGGGATTGGAATGATTAGAAAAGATTTGGGGGGGGGGGGGGAATTTCAGACTTGCCCTTGAAAACTGCAAGGAAACCAGATGATCAAGGCAGAAGTCTGGCTAGAAGGCTGCCAGGGTTCTTCCAGGAATAAGGAATATACCTGTTACTTTTGTCATTTGTTGACTGAAAGAAAAAAAAACACCTCTTTTAAATGTTGGGGTGATCAGATGAACCCTTCATGCTCTCCTTTAAGTATTTCCTGTGGACTTGCCTTTCTGATCTCTAATTGATGTCTTTGTTCATCTTCATCATCCCTGAGACACTTAAAAATTCATTTGAAAAAGCCACCTGCTGTACAAAACAAAGAGCATATTAAATAAGTCCCCGAGCAGCCACGCATCCAGGAGGCCTTTCATTAATGTTAATTGGTGATGACAAACCTCAGCTGTGTGAATTAAGAACGGCACGAGCGAGGCCCAGTGGAACTTGAAACAAAACTCCCCTGCAGGAAAGCGCCCAGACTACAGGGTAGGGAAGACCCCATTCTGACTGCACACAAAGCTTTGTCACCACACAATGCCAGGCGGAAGTCAGCACGCAGAACTGAAAGAACACGGCCTGTCTGCTTAAACAAGGACAATGAGGATCCTGCTAAAGCTTTGCGGGGCAGGGAACCAAAGGCCAGAAAACAAAAGGGCCGGTGGGAAAAATGACTTGAGGCCAAGTCTGCTAGAGGTGTATTACAAGGACTCAAGAAGAATTTTTTTTATTGTACTACCATTAAGCAAATATCAATGCCCCAGAAATGAATCAAATATGTAGAATAGAAGAAGTGTGGATTCTGTGAATGAATTGTGCAGTCTGTGTGACCAACTCTTGCCGTCTTTGCCACTACAAAAAAACACAAGAGTGGGGTGGCTTCCAAAATTCCACGCATGTTTTTCAGGACTCAACAGGCACTGCCTCACAGGGACTTAGAGCTAGCTGTACACAGTACACCCAGCAGCATGGCCTCTCCAATAGCCTCACGTCTATAGAAGCACTACACTGTTACTGCCGGCTACAACTACATTAGCTGGGTACCAAGTCTCCACGAGACAAAGCTACTGTTTAAACTGTTCAGTCTGGCTATGGATAGACGATCCCTCTTTTCTTTCCCCCTAGAAAGAGAATGGTGAAGCATCTTAAACAGCTGTTGCTTTGTTTTGATCCTTCTTATTTCCAAAGGTCTCAAAATGAAGTTGATGGGAGAAGAGGCCAGAAAGCAGTTCCTCTTAAAACAGATTTTATGTTTTGCTTCTCTCTTCCCTTAGGAGCCTCTCACAACCGCTCGCAATGGATGGGACCAGCGTACCGTACCTGCTTCCCCCACCCCCGTGTGACTCTCTGTTTCTCCTACAAGCAGAGTTACTATAACCCCAGATGAGAACAATTTGACAATCATTTTTGATGAATCAGTTCCTCTTCTTGTTACTGATAATGAAAGATAGGTATGATGGTTACTTTGTTTACTCTACTGGGTGGGAACCACCTCGGAAGTGCACCTGTATCTCTGAAAGTATTTCCAGAGAAAGGGCGGCAAGCAGCATCCCATAGCTGGAATGTCAGGAAAGCAGGGAGGAGTCGGGGGACGAGGGTATGGTCATCAGCATTCATTTCTCTTTGCTTCCTGCATATGAACAAAATGTGAGCAGCGGCCTCGTGTTTCCACCGCCACATCTTCCCGCCATGGTAGACTACAGCCCTTACTAAACTGTGCATCCCTTGTTAAATCCTTCCTCCTTTAAGTCGCTTCTGTTGACAACAAAGAGGTGTGGGCAGTAGAGAGTGGACGGCTTCCAGCGATGAGAAGAATAACGCATACAGTAAGGCATGGTCTAACCGTCCTTCAAAGAGGACAAGTTAAATATGCCGTGGTTCATCTAAGGCCAGAGAAAGAGCAGGCTTTTCAGTGGCCACACAAGAGCCAGGTGCTCTGCCACTTCGGTCTCTGCTGCAGCAACCCCGAGCGTGTTGGGCCTTCTGGTGTTGAATCCTGTATCTGTTAGTGTCCAGCCAGGAAAACAGAAAGCGCCTAGGCATTTCTGCAAAGAGACATTCCCAGTATTTTGTTTCTTTCTTACTGAGAACCTTTTTTTTTTCTTTAAAGCAGGGTTTCTCTGTCGCTTTGGAGCCTGTCCTGGAACTAGCCCTTGTAGACCAGGCTGGCCTCGAACTCACAGAGATCCACCTGCCTCTGCCTCCCGAGTGCTGGGATTAAAGGCACGTGCCACCACTTGTCCGGCCAAGAACTTTTAAAGCAGAAAGAAGAAACAGAGAATAGTAGCCCTGGAAAGCAGCTCATACCCTGGGGCTGGGAGCACAAAGGAAGAAAAGAACAGAAGTTTACAGGAGAAGCCTCTGGACTGCCCAGGCCTCTGAGAAAGTGTCACTGCCCAGGTGGTGCCAGTGCTCCAAGGGGAACACCATGAGGCAAGGCCAAAGGAGGCAAAAGAAAATGGGGAAACTGGAGCCTGCGATGGACTGCCACCATGGGGCATGAGGTCACTTGTACAGCGGAGAGGGACAACAGTTCCAGTCCAGCCTCTCTGGGGCTCTTTCTTAGCAAACCTAGCGGGATGCAGGGTCTGAAGTGAGATAACAGGAACTGACAGGTGACTGGCGCGTACACACACACACACACACCATGTAACCCTTAAAGAGAAAGACATTTCCATTAGTTAGCATTCAAGACTCTCCAAGATAAAAGGAAAAGCCGGGTATGCATATGATCTGCCAACAGTTGGGACCCAGGAAGATCATAAGAAGAGAAGCTGTGTCATCTGCTATGGTACAGGGACATTCACAGGGTGACTCTAATCCCATTCGCAGCACTAGAGAGAAGTATTTTGTTCAACCCACTTACAAGGATATGCAAATTATTTTTATGGAGGGAGTAGCACATGTGTGCTGTGGCGTGTGCGTAGAGGTCAGAGGGCAGCTTTTGGAGGCAATACTAATAGTTGCCTTTGGGACTGTTTTCCTTTTATAAATTAACTCCTTCAACAGGCCCTCTCTAGGGTCATCTAATTTGCATATACTACACATAATTTCTATACAGTAACAAAAAATACTTTTAAAGCAGCTTTAATGGTCCTTGAAATGACTTGTCTGCCTTTCAGTTAAACGCAGGAGCCAAGGGCCTTACAATGCCCTTCCTCTCATGGGAGCAGCAGAAATGCTAGGGAATTTGCATTTGCTTCTAAATATATTTGCTTTATTTAACAAAACAAAATTCTACACAAGTAAAATACCACAAGGCTAGGGGCAGGAAATGGTGCCAGGTGGATGGGTAAGACACAGCCCTGCTGTCAAACCGATCCCAATCGTGCACGCGGAAGGATGCTTACACAAAGAGTGCAGGGAGTAAAACGAAACACGGCAGGGGCTGCCTGTGAGCACCTGGATTTGCTAAGGATGCTTTTAAATCTACTGCCAGAAAGTTCCATCTAGAGGAGACTATAGAGTAGGCAGGACAAAGAAGCTGCTTTTAAATGCCACCCCCAGAGCCACCTGATCCAGGGCCTTTCACTCTGCCTTTGTTCTGCCCTGAGTGGCATTATCACAGGGTGCAATCCACCAATCCCCTTAATGTCTATCCTTAGGCTAACATTAACTTTGAAATATTTCTTTGTCACATAGTTCATGTGTATTCACTTAGTGGCTGTGGCTCAAGGCCAGCTTGCTTCCTTGCTCTGTCTGAGACCGTATCTCTCCCTATTGGTAATGCTCCAGTAAGTGTCAGTAAGTGATCAAGAATTTTTCAGTACATAAAAGCAGTTTTTTCTCCTTTGTTTTCTCATGGTTGGTGATCCTAACAGATTTATGAGTTAGTGAGTTTGGGAAATCTCAGTCCTGTGTTGCTCAGCCTCCAGTCTCTTAATA